CCCCATCCTGGGTTGTTCCCTGCCTTGTGCCCTGTGATGGGTTGGCGCCCCATCCTGGGTTGTTCCCTGCCTTGTGCCCTTAGGCTCTGGGCCCCCAGCACCCATGAAAAGGACAAGCGGTTACAGAAAATAGACAGATGGATAGAAGATCGTGACTAAATTCAGGACTATTATCTCACTCTACTGTATACTGAGAGTCATACAGCCCAGATTCTACTGGAAGGAGCAGGCAGACAGAAAGCAATATAGTTACATGCAGAGTAAGCATACATATTAAAAGTACAAACAAGCAAATGCACAAGAAATGAGTGTTATCTGTTTCTTTGAAAGCTGAATCAGAGAGAGAGAGAGAGAGAGAGAGGAAGGCAAAGTGGTCACTCCAGTAACACCGCCTTTACCAAAATAACCCAAGTCGGGGGGGTCGGATCACCTGACTGAGGGAAACCTGATTTTCTCATGGCGTGTTCTTGGGGGAAGCAGGCTGCATGGCGGTTAATGACGCTGGCATTTGACTGGAAAGGTTAGCCTTCATGTCTCGGGCTGGGCTGGGTCGTTTTACCCTTGAGCAAGGCAGTTAACCTGAATTGCATCAGTAATTATTGAGGAGCTGCTGTCTGCCTGGGCCTGATGTAACTATTTACACCAGGGTAAGGAGAGGAGCTTGGGGAAACTGAGGAGACTTGGTGAACCTTGGTGTTTAAACAGTGATGTGCTGTGTGTACGAATAGCAATGTGGGACCCCAGCACTGGAGGTAACACTGACTAATTTAACTTTTACAATTCATTTTCAAGATGAATTGAATTTAAGGAAACTCAAAACGCTGCAATGGGTTGGTGCCCCGTCCTGGGTTGTTCCCTGCCTTGTGCCCATAGGCTCTGGATACCCCGTGACCATGAATAGGACAAGCGTGTACAGAAAATGGATGGATGGATGGATGGAGGAATGGAGTGATGGATGGATGAACCAAAAAAGTAGTCACTATTAATACACATCAAAAATAGCCCACGTTAATACTTCTGTCAATATTGTGCTGCGAATTTTGCATGTGTATTGCAATTATAAATTATTTTCCTTGGCTTTTTGTTATTAAGAATAAGCATCATTATTTACATCAGCCAAACAATTCAGGCAAAGCCGTAGTTTCTGGTTTAAAGACGTCGTCCATGTGATTGGCGCCCAACCCCCTCTAATAAAAGGTCACTCAGCAGTTTAAACACTATTTATTCCTGAATGACAGGAACACATGACGCAAGACCATGTGTGCAAGTGTATAATTTATTTCTGAAATTGATTTGGTTCTTTTTTGGAGATTAGAACTTTAATAAGAAGTCTCACTGTGCTCCGTTTACATCACTGGAGTAATTTTTAAATAAGATCTGGCTTGAAATTCCCCTGTTGCCCCCATTGCTCTGTATATCAATGAGCTGTTTGTTTAAATTTCCAGTTTGATAACAGCTTCAGTTTTGGCTCGGAGGAAGGACAAAACCGTGAGAGACCAGATACAGACACTCACCTTCAGTCAAATGCAAATGAGTTTAACAAGCACACAACAGCCTTAAATGACACAAAGTCATTATTTTTTCCTGAGAAGTTATATACTGTAGGATATTCACGTTATGATCACTTACTAGGCTCTTACA